CACACACACACACACACACACACACACACACACACAACTGACTGTCAGAGTTTAAGCTCCCGATGAGTCCGTGAAAGTCCAACAAAACAATCTGGCACAGGCATGGTCTTACTGGTTGGGTTCTGTATAGCGAACATGACAACACACATACAATCAGGTATGATAAATAATATAATAATAATAATAATAATAATAATAATAATAATAACAACAACTCGACCCGCCGCGACTACGACCGCAGTGCATGGCCGCATTCCTCTTCCAGAAAGTATGCGGACGCAAGAGCAAGCTTTTGCTGCAAACGAGGTGTTGAGCAAGAATCATGGTGACCGGCCAGACGTCCAGACCTGCATGCGGACAGTCTGGAAGATTTTGTATGGTTAGGGTGTCTGGTCCAGGACATCCGGACCCACCCCCCCCTCAACCAAAAACTCAAAACAAAAAGGCGGGCCACCCAGGACGTTTTTTCAGGCCCTGGGCGCCCCCAAGAAAATACTCAGGCTGCGAAAAATAAACACTTAGAGGTGCATTTGCAGACACCTCCTGAGGTGTCCGCAAATTCCCTTCACCTGCGGCTCAGCAGGCGGCTGACATTTGGGTACCCGAATACTGCCTTTGTGGATTTGGGCGCGAGGTGTGACTCGCTCCAGAAAAATAATTTTTGCGGCTTTGGGTAGAATAAAGTACTCGTGTGAGTATGCCCTGAGAATATCCTTCTAAGTTTCCCTGATGGAAAACAAAAGAGCCCCTGTCAAAGTGGCGCGCCACTATGAGCCAGGGCCCTACCTTTAGCAGGGCCTTTGCCAGACTTCTTTCTGAAGTAATGGTCCCCCCTATTTGGAGCTACTCAGTCCCCCCACCGCAAAAAAATTTATAGTAAAGTGGTGTGAAAATCATGACTCAGCTGAACGCCTCTTTTTTGAATATGCTTGTTTGCGCTATTTAGGCAAAGCAATCCGGGGTGTTTCTCCTGTTGACTTTCAGTATAGCGAGCATGTATTCGAGCTCGGACGTCATCATCGGCGGCTGAGTTACGAATGCATGCGTCAATGCCGCACGGGTATGCTGTGGAGTCTGGGAGTCTGATCTGTCTATCTCTCTCTGTCTCTCTCTGTCTCGTCTTCCCTTCCCCCCGCCCCTGCATGTGTCTAGCTTAGCGCCCAAACTGTACGTTAAGGTAGATCAGGTTCGATCTGCACTTTAAAGAGCCACATTCTTGAGGTATCATCATCGAATTGATGTACCTCAGAGAACTTGCTGACGCGGCAGGCCAAGGTCAATACGTCAACAAGTCCACCCTGCCTCCCTGCTCCCTTTGTATCTCTCCTTTTTTCCCCAGAGAACTTGCTGACGCGCCAGGCCAAGGTCGATACCTCAACAAGTCCATTCTCACCTCACCTCAATGCACTTACGGCTTGCGTCTCTCTCGACGACTCCATCAGCAGCCTGGACACAATGTCACTTGCCAAGTCCAAGTCAACAGCGCTGGCTGTCCCAGGCAGGCTAGCACAATGAAGCTGGAACGGGAAATGACAAAGTCGATCGTCTGCGGCAGCATCGAGTGTTCTTCCTCCGGATCACCACCACATTGCCGCCCTGAAGCTATGGTGACCTTCTATCTCATCCCTAGCACAAGTGCCGCTTTCTCTGTACAGCGCAAGCATCAACAGGACGAAGTGATGCATGAGGAACCACTGGTTTCCGTCCTCTTGGAGTCTTCTTTCTCAGGGGTAGCTATGGCCACCAGTCAACAGGTCAGCAAGCTTCGTACACCTTCTCCTTGCCAACCCTTGTGCAATGGTTGCCACCTCCCTCCCAATCTCCACCGCTGACCCTCCTCTTTATGGTGCCAGACAAGCTGAAGCTCCTGCTCAACAACACCACCTTTGAGTCTTGGACGAAGCATGTGGAGCACATGCAGCCACTGGTCTTCTCTGCAGCAGCAGATATGGCTGAACACTCCGAAATGACACTGTTACATGCTGCGCCTGCAACAGGCTGCAAGGGCCATTTTCAGGCCCGCGTTGTTTCCAGCCTGAAAGCCTGAAAACAAGGGCCTACAGGCCCCGTATCATTTCAGCCTGAAAGCCTGAAAACAAGGGCCTACAGGCCCCGTATCATTTCAGCCTGAAAGCCTGGAAACAAGGGCCTACAGGCCCTGTGTCGTTTCAGGCTAAATCAGGGCCTTTCCGGCCCTGAGTATTTTCAGCCTGAAACTGAGGGCCATTTTCAGGCCGTCATCAGTTCGACCTGCCCTGAAACTCAGGCACCTGACCAGGGTTTTAGCTCAGGCCATTTTTGGCCTATTTTCAATACAACCTTTGTTTGAGCTTCAACCCCAGGGTCTGGCGCATTTTGGCATTGGTAAGAGCAGCCTCCTGGACGGGCCAGCACTATATAAGACTGGCCCGCCCTGCAGGCTGCAGGTAGTTGGGAGGTAGCTCTTAGGTACTTCCCAGGCACCTCACATGCAGGCAGGAGGCAGTCAGTAGTCTTCAGGATTCGGCAGCAGCACTCTGGAGGAGCGCTGCAGGAGTAGTAGTAGTAGCGTTAGCAGTAGTCTTCAGCGCTGGGCGCCATAGCTAGAGTAGTACTAGAGAGAGAGAGAGATTGGGCGGAGGCCAGGGGTACTTACCTGCAGCGCCGTTGCTCCAGCTTCGTCTTCGAGGTACCTGCAGCACAGCGCCAACTTCACAGGTTAGTACCTGGCTCATGAGAGAGAGAGAGAGTTCTTCTTCTTCCTCTTCTTGGTCCACCATCTCCTTCTCACCCTCTTGCTATCTGACTTCACTGCATCAGCAGACTACGAGAGAGAG